TTTTTTTTTTTATAATCCTGAACTAATTGATAACGTTTTCTGTTACCTCAACGATAGGTTTGCACATAGCACAAAGAAGACCGTCCAAAACTGCTTTCTCCCTGTATGCCATTCCAGCATCCATGGCCTTTTCACGATAGGCCATTTGAGCAAATGCCAACGACAGTAATGCCAAAAGAATTAAACCACGCATATTGCTTCGTCGAGAACCTTAATGATAAATTGATGGAACAAAGTAATACCGCATTCGACAGCTATACAGATTTCTAAACGTTTGGCAATCATCCATTTCCAATTTTTTTTTTCAATAAATTTTTAATTGCTTAAAAAATTGGTTGAATATTTTTTTTTCTAAAACTTTCCAAATTTTATGACAAAAAGTAGTTTAGACAAATAGCAGAAATTACTACACCACAAAGACTTATATAGTATTCTAAAACGATAAAAAGTCGAAGAGAAAAATAAGGCACTCCAAATATTCTTTGATGTCGGTAGATTGACAGCTAATCAACTTTTAACTGAAACAATGCTGTATTAAACTTAATGTTATATATAATAAATTTTTTGATTAAAGTACAGTGTTTTTTGCTTCTTGTATTTTTTTTCTGCTTTGTAAACGGAACTTACTACGTATAGCAGTCAACAAAGTGTACAATCAGTAAGCTGTATTTTTAAAGATCACAAATTTTCGTTTTTTTTTTTTTTATTGATGCGGTTTAATGGCATCGGAATTGATGAACTATAATAATTTTTCAAAAATTTCTTTAATAAAATTAACTCTAAGAATAATAAAGACTGTATCAGTCGCCTGGCAGTTGTTCGATATCAATTAATCAAATTTTTTTGTGTATTTATTTTCAGAGACAGTTATAATTTAATCAGTTTATAATTTCTGCATTTACTTAAAGGTTTTGGTAAACGAAGAGAACAACGCATTTCCATTTTTATTTTTGGAAAATGTTATAAAGTTTTATAATTTTTTTATATCTTATTGTTTACTATAATTTTGAAGCTCTCTTAACAAACCAGTAAACTATATTAGTTGCTTGAAGAGAGAAGAAATTTTTGGTGACTTATCGCTTGCATATAGCTTGTTGCTGACAATACTTTGATGATCTTAGTTTTGAAACCTTTCATAAACGTTAAACACCTGTTGTTTTATATCACACAACACCAGTTTGATCAAAAGAATTGTCCAAATATAATGTTTAAACTGCTGATAAGCAAAGTACTTTTTTTTTTTGTCTATTATTTAAAGGAAGAAGCAAACTACACAGCATTCATGCGAATAGGGGATACATGGTTTTTGTATACGTGCCTATGATTCACCAATTTTTTTTTTTTTTTTTTGGGTTTTTTCGACTTACGGATCTCTAAAGAATTTGACAGACAGTTTCTTTTTTTGTGTTTGCTGTTTGGTATTCTTTGAGAGAAGAGAACACTTACGACGTCTACCGGAACATAGTATTAGCTTGCCAACTTTTGAATATTCATGTGACATTGTATCCATTAGCTTTTGAAGTCAACAACGCTTCGCCAACTTTGGTTTACAATTTTTTAATGACAATTTTTTTCCCGCTACTAAATTTTAGAGAGTTTAGACGTGCAGGATGTCTGATTTTAAGAAGTAATCAATTTGAACAAAAAGTTTTTGGAATTTTTTTATTTCGCTATTTTCTGCACAGAACTGTTGTTTCAACGCTGTTTCCAGTGCGACTTCAACAAAATGAGATGCCGAAACGGAAGTGGCCTTCCCACGAGTTGGATATGTTTTGGTAAGGTTGTCATTAGGATTAGTGTTTGGAACCTGAGTCTTTGTAAACATTGATATATTTATTGCTGGCTAAATACCGTTTTGAAGACGTTGCCAAAGCTCATATTTATACATTGCCAAGCTGAGGTTTAACGTTCAAGTTGCATTGTCAAGATAACATTTTCCCACTCTCCTCCCGTATCTCGTTAAAATTTTTGTTTGGCCTTGTTGACCTTCACCTATGCTTCTTATCACTAGAAAATTTTTTTCTTTCTTTCTTCAATTACAAAAGCTCAACACAAATTTGACAGCAGAAACTCTAAATAACCCTTTTGAGTAACCACCACTGAACACTTCAAAAAATGCCCACTTAAATTTCCCAGATGCACACAACATACCGCAGAGATAG